GGGTAAGGACACCCCTTCTCCCAGTTGGGTGGCCCTGGAAAATGCCTCAATTAGATCTAGTTCCCCTTCTGCATTAATCTGCTCTCGACTACCCTTTAATCAATATCAACCTACATTTCTAACCCAGTTGTGATTTGGGCTGTTAAGATTTGGAATCAGTTCAGGAGGGCATTTAACTCTACAGAGTTACTGTTTTTTTAGCTCCTGTGTCAAATAATTACGTTTACTCCCCCATAAGCTGATACAGCTTTTGACACCTGGGCCTTGGGAGGAGTACATTCACTGTTTGACCTCTATGTTGATGGTAGATTGGCCTCTTTTGAACAGCTGCTACAGAAGTTTAAGTTTGTTCACAAGTCACAGTTTTTTAGATATTTACAGCCGAGACATTTTGTGAGATCTAACTCTGACTGTTTTCCTTTGTACCCCTCTAAGCTTCTTGTGACTGATTTTAGAATGCAGGTCTGATACTAAGGGGCCCCAAAGCAAAATGTATACACTGCTCAGCTTTTACCATGAGTCCTGCTTGGACTCCCTTAAACTGAAATGGGAAGCGGACTTGGAGGAGCTTATATCAGACCCAATCTGGGGAAGGATCGTTAAGAACATTCACTCATCTTCTGTCTGTCTGAGACTTGCTGTAATCCAATTCAAGGTAGTGCACAGGCTGCACTGGTCCAAAGACAAGCTCTCCAGGATCAAGGCCGATCTGGACACAGCATGCAATCGGTGCAAATAAACTCCAGCTACACTCCTGCATACATTCTGGACCTGTCCCAAACTCCAGACTTTTTGACAATCTATGTTTGACACCTTCTCTGGAATATGTGGCAAAACTGTTCATCCATCACTGCTCATCTCATTGTTCGGGGTGGTCCCGGTGGACACGTCCTTCAACAGATGCGAGAGGGATAAGATCGCCTTTGGCTCTCTGCTGGCCTGGAGGCTGATTTTGTGTCAATGGAAGGACCCACACTCCCCAGGATATGTACATTGGATAAGGGTGGTGATGTACCATATCTATTTGGAAAAAAACAAGACATGCCCTGAAGGGTTGTGTAAAAGGATTCTGGGACACATGGCAGCTCTTTGTGTTGTATGTGGAGAACTTGTCAGTACCTGTTTGATTTATTTTTGTTATGTATGTATGGCTGATCCGGTGGGGGAGGGGGGGACGAGGTGGGAGGTCTTTTTGTTTTTGTTCTGTCAATTTGTTCTGTGTGTTGTTAAAAATGCAAAAATCAATAAAAAGACCTTGTTTAAAAAAAAAGATGTGAAGCTCTTGACCTTGACCTCTCTAAGGGATTTTAAACAACTGCTAAGTTTCTGGCAAAAACCAATGCAGACATGTTCCTGTTTTTGTTTCATTTTTATTTCATTTCTTCGATTTACTTTTCATTTTATATGCTTTTAATGATTGTCTATTGTTGTTTATACCTCATCTGTGGTCTTTGTTTAAATCAGGTTTGTCTTGTAAACAAGGCCTCAAGGCTCAGTGACACTAACCTGTAGAAATAAAGGTTGAATGATCTCTGCTTTTATTCTCTGGTCTTTATTGCCAAGATGGCCGCGCTCAGAGCAGTTGCAGCTTCACAGGCTCCCAGTACCATCCAAGTTTTTAGAAGTTTTGATATTGACTCTGTGCCTGACTCCGCGCGATTTATGCGTGTGAACTATAGCCGAACCGAACTGATGAGAATAGGAGCGGATTTGCCACGAAATATAGCAGAAATCAGCAACAAACTCAAAACTACGCTCGGCAGAATGCAGATCTTAAAGTCATCTACCTGGAAGCTGCAGCAGAGGCGTTCCAGCGGGCAGAAGAGGAAGCGCTGCTCCCGGCTTAAGAGGAGAGGATGCCGGGCGGGGGTTATGGTGAGGCTACGAGCTAACGCTAAAGCCGGTAAACTCCCCATGCCGTCTCTCTTTCTGTCGAATGTCCGCTCGTTGGACAACAAGGTGGATTTACTTCATCTGAGAGTGGGCGCCTCAGAAGAGATGAAGAAGTGTGCGGTGCTTTGCCTCACGGAAACGTGGATTACAAGCGTAACGCCGGACTCAGTCTTCCAGCTGGATGACCGACTTTTTTTTCGAGCGGACCGCTGCAGCGAGCTAACGGGGAAATCACGGGGGGGCGGAGTGTGCATTTACGTGAGTAAAAGTTGGTGCACGAACTGTACTGTTGTAAAAAGCTCATGCTCGAAGGCTTTGGAGCAAATAACAGTGAAATGTCGGCCACATTATCTACCCCGAGAGTTCACAGTGACTTTTATCACAGTTGTTTACATTCCTCCGGACGCTAATGCTAATGAATCACTGTAAGAGCTACATGATATCATCAGCTCGCTGCAGGACAAACACCCCGAGGCTCTTTACGTGGTAGCCGGAGACTTTAACCACGTGAATCTAAAGGACTGCCTCCCAAGCTTTTATCAACATGTGGCGATTCCGACACGTGGAGACCGCACGCTGGACCGTGTTTACACGAACGTAAAAGATGCATACAAAGCCGAACCCCGCCCCCACCTAGGACTGTCAGACCACATCTCAATCTTCCTGGCTCCTGCTTACATGCCCCCGCTGAGACGCTCCAGACCGGTACAAAAGGAAGTTAAATGTTGGATCCAGGACAGTGGCCCCATACTGAGAGATTGTTTTGACCGAACAGACTGGCAGGTTTTCAGAGAAGCTTCTGAAAATGGAGGTTCGCTTGATCTTGACCAATACACATCCTCAGTTCTGGGTTACATTAGTACATGTACTGACACAGTCTCCACTATCAGAAATGTTAAAAGCTACCCAAACAGAAAACTTGGCTGAATGCAGAGGTGCGTACCCTGCTGGAAGCCAGGAACACTGCCTTCAGGTCTGGAAACTCAGAGGAGCTGAGTAGGACAAGAAAAGATCTGGTTGCTGGTATTAAGAGGGCCAAGGCCACATATGCAAAGAGGATCAAGGGTCAATTCATCTCACAAGACCCTCGGAGCATGTGGAGGGGCATTAAGTGCATAACAGATTATAAAGGAAGAAGCGAACAATGCCCCAAAGACCCATCTCTGCCTGATGCCCTCAACAAGTTCTATGCACGCTTTGAAGACCCGAACAGACCACCCAGCACCAGACTCACCTCACCACCGGATGAAGAGCATCTCAGTGTGACCTCAGCAGAAGTAAGGAGTACCTTCAGGAGGATTAATCCGCACAAGGCAACTGGCCCAGACAACATCCCCGGAAAAGCATTGAAGGAATGTGCTGATCAGCTCTGTGAGGTGCTGGCAGACATCTTTAACACCTCACTTACCCTGGAGACAGTTCCCACCTGCCTGAAGACTGCCACCATCATCCCAGTCCCAAAAAGCTCTACAGTGACTGGTCTGAATGACTATCGGCCAGTGGCCCTCACCCCGATAGTCGCTAAATGCTTCGAAAAACTGGTCATGACTCACATCAAAACAACCATCAACATCAACGAGGACCCTCATCAGTACGCATACCGTGAGAACCGATCAACAGAGGATGCAATCTCCTCTGTGGTCCACACTGCACTCAACCACCTGGAGCAGAAAAACTCTTACGTCCGTATGCTCTTTGTGGACTTCACATCCGCCTTCAACACCATGATCCCCCAAACCCTGATGGACAAACTATCCACACTAGGACTAAGCCCCTCCATTTGCAACTGGGTACTAGACTTTTTAACAAACAGACCACAGTTAGTGAGGATCCACAACCTCTCCTCCTCCACCATAACCCTCAGCACTGGCTCTCCTCAGGGATGTGTGTTGAGCCCCCTCCTGTTCACTCTGCTCACATATGATTGTGCAGCTACCCATCCAGGCTGTCACATTGTAAAGTTTGCAGATGATACAGCGGTGGTGGGATGCATCACAAACAATGATGAGTCCAGCTACAGGCAAGAGGTGGAACACCTGGAGAGCTGGTGCAAAGAGAATAACCTTCACATCAATGTGAAGAAGATGAAGGAGATGATTGTGGACTTCAGAAGGAACAAAAACACCTACACCCCCTGAACATAAGAGGATCTGCAGTGGAAGTGGTCTCCAGCTACAAGTACTTGGGTGTACACATGAACTACAACCTCAGCTGGAGCAACAACACCACCAGCCTGATGAAGAAAGCTCATCAGAGACTCTACTTCCTCAGACGGCTGAGACGAGCTGGTCTGGAAGCTCAGTCCTCACCTCCTTCTACAGGTGTGCAGTGGAGAGCATCCTGTGCTCCAGCATCAACGTGTGGCATGGAGGCTGCACAGCTGCAGAAAGAAAAGCTTTGCAGAGAGTGGTGAAGGCTGCACAGAAGATGTTGGAGTCAGTCTCCCCACCATCACAGACATCTACACCTCCAGATGCAGGAAGAGGGCCACCTGCATCATGAAGGACCCCACTCACCCAGCACACACACTTTTTGCCCCACTCCCCTCAGGAAGGAGGTTGAGGAGCATTAAGTGTAGAACCACTAGACTGAGGAACAGCTTCTACCCTGAGGCTGTTAGACTCATGAATCTCTAACTAGAATAATCACTGTGAAAAACCATATCATGTTGCTGCTGATCTGTTTCATGTTGCTGCTGATCTGTTTCATGTTGCTGCTGATCTGTTTCATGTTGCTGCTGATCTGTTTCAATGTTGATGTGTTCATGCGTGCACATCTGCTCACAGACTCATGTTCATGTTTGTGCTGATGTTCAATGTTTTATGTTATGAGTGCTTAGTGTATATTTAGTTGATGTTTTTCTTAGTTCATATCTTAGATGTTATTACTGTTTTTCTTATACATTTTATTGTTGGATGTAACTGGGACCCTGTGAACATAATTTCGCTCCACCACATGTACCACATGAGGTGCGAATGACAATAAAGAAACTCTGACTCTGACTCTTTAGTCCGGTTCCAGAATGTTCAGACTTGTGTTTTCTATCAGAACTCGCATAGAAACCAATTCAGTTTTCAAACTCGAAAACAGAGCACCTGAATACACCATTAGGTTCACCTTTGTTCATTTTATTTTGAAAGCACCAAACAGGAAACAGTCATCACTTTAAAGAACAGTTTCTGGTCTCTGGACTCCAGAATCAGAAGTTTGAGGTCTGCATAGGGCCGTCTCCTGAAGCACTCCACATTCACACCTGGCAGAAAGGCCGTGCTGCAGGCTGAACCCTCAGACCTGCACACCTGTCCAGGTAAGACCAGGTCCACCTCACAGAATCCACGTTCGTCAGAGGAAACTAGGGGTTAGTGGGCTGAAGGTCCCAGAGGTTCTGTTCCCTCAGTCTTCGAGTTGACAGCTGCTTCTTCAGGCTCTCTGGGCATACCTGAACACCTGTACAGGTAAGTTCAATCGTTACCATTCTGTCCAGTTCTGGGTCACATGACCCAACATCTGTACACCTCAAAATGATTTTCTGTTCTGTGCCTGAGATGACTTCTGTTCTAACTTGGCACTATATAAACTAGAGAATTTGCATTTCCTGTGAAAATGCAAGTGTGAATGCTTCTTGCTTAAGAATGTGAAGAAAATAGTTGAAATGGAGCTTAAAACAGCAGAATGAAGCTTCAAGTGTCAGAAGGAAGCAGAACGTGCACAACTGTTCCCAATGCAATGGACTGCCAGGCTGCTGCCGATAGAAACTGTTGATGTATCCTTTATTTAACCAGGAAAATATCTCATTGAGATTAAAAACTTCTTTTCCAAGAGTGAGCTGGCCAAGACAGCAGCATAAAACATACAACAAATCCAAAATACTAAACCAGTTACACAGATACATATCCAGGAGAAATCACATAATTACACATTAGAGCAGTTCCAGGAGCCAAGAGATCTG